CAATCGAAGCCCAATCTATTTACCCACTATTTTCAGCATGGGTTCGGCGTTGACCCACCTCTAATTGGACCCAAATCAGCATCACCCATCACTTTTAGACATCGGGACAGCAATCTTAAGGCCTTTTGAACTCAGATTGGGAGCCCGAACCCCTTCGACGTCAACCCACTCCTAACCCAAGTTGTTTTAGTATGAGTTAGTAGGTAACGACTCTACCTAAACTCGGTTTCGTTTATAACTAAATGTTTCTAATTAGTTACTGACCTCGAGATCATGCTCTTTTGTAGTAGGAAGTGTTCAACAAGCTTTAGGACAAGTGTTTGTAAGTAGCACGGGGGCGGGTGCGTGCGTTGATGTTTGTTATTTGGTTGCCGATGTGCGGTTTATGACGTTTATTATTGGTCCTGATATGTTGTTGTGCAGTGTAACTCTTGTTTATGTTGGTCTGTACGCCGGGGTAGTGTTGAATGTCCGTCGGTGATAATAGTGGGAAATTTGGTATTGTTGAGCTGCTGAGATCTGTTGTAGAATGTTGTATGTTTATAGGGAATGTTCGTTAAAGTGGATTTATTTAGGGAATGTTTGTTGTTTTAATTTGTATAAAGTGTTTGGCGTGTCTCATGAGTTGTTTATTATATCTGGCAGTGCTTATTGGATATGGACGTTGAATATTAAGTGTTTGGATGAATTGTGTTGGGCTCCAATCATTTGCAATTTGTTGATTTTGCTTTGTTATGACTAAACTCACTGGGGCGCGGTTGTTAAGAATTGATATGTGGTGAAAGCATGTTTGGTTTATTGTTTTGCTACTAGAATGATGTCTATGATTGGAAACATGCTGAATTGTGTTGGTGAGTTGAGGGATGCATTGAAATCATACTAGTGGTGGTGTTGTTGATGGGCGTTGTGGTGGTTGGAGTTATTAGGGAATTAGTACTGGAATCTTGGTTGGAGGCTATAAATGATATGTGGAGTTTTGGAAGTTATGAAGTGAATGGGTGAGTGTCAGGGCCTCGGGTATAAATGGTTGGGGGCTGATACGTCATTAACTGGGTATCGAGGCCTCGGGTATAAATGTTCAGGGTCGATACGCCAATATTGGATAAAGATGAGCGTCGAGGCCTCGGGTATAAATGGTCGGGGGTCGATGCGAGGAGTCTTTCGAAAGGAGAACTATTGGGGCCTTGGGTATAAATGGTCAAGGGCCAATAGATTGTAAGACATCGAGGTTTCGGGTATAAATGGTCGAGGGTCGATGCACTAGTGTCGGGGCTCTGGGTATAAATGGTCAGGGGCCGACACTACCAAAAAAATGGTTTCGAAGAGCTTGAATAGCTGAGGTGAACATAGTTGTATTTGAGGTGCTAGGGAGTCAAGTGGACAGTAGTTGTTTTCATATGATGGTGTGTAGCATCGGGTCTTATAGAGCATGTTTATGGATGAATGTATAATGTAATTGTAGAGCATGTCTATGGTTATTCGCGTACTGTAATGATAGAGCATGACGATGTATGTTTCCTTTATGGTTATGAGCATGATGTTTGTGTGTGCTTGGTGAGGGCTACTTACGGAGTATATTTTATATACTCACCCCCCTCTCTACAATGATTGTTTCAGGTGAAGGACTCGTGGGTGACCATGGTGATGGGACGGAGGAGACCTGACTGGCGAGGACCATAGGCTGCTTAGTTTTTCCTGTTTAGTTTAAATCATTGGTTAGGGCCTTATGTTGTGGCCAGTAAACGGTTTATTTGCATTTGAGTAATTGAGAGATTTTTCCCTTGTTGTTAGTTGTGCTTCGGGATAGGTGCCTATTTGAGTTTTATTCCATTTGTTTAGATTCATATAGATTGAACAATAAACCTGCCTCGTGAAGTGGTTCACGAATTTTGTTGAATGCTATTCAATGAGATTATATTTATCGTTAAATTGATGAAGATTGGAACTTGATTTTATAAGTTTATGTGCATAGGAAGTTGGCAGGATGTAGCCGGGGTTAAATTTGACTAGTTGAGTAGTTAATGTGACCTAGAGATGTGTGGAAAATTTTGGGTTTTTACAATTGGTATCAGAGCGGAGTTGTTCCTGTAGACTGTCCTAGAATCTAGGTCGTTAGTGTATGGTCCTTGTCAGTCTCCTCATCATCACCAGGTACGTTTCCGAGTTCTGGATGTTCGATCATGAATGTCTTACATTGCTTATGATTGAGATATTATTATTGACTGATACTAGATAGGTCGGTGTGTTTGTTTGATTCATTATGTAGACCTTGCTTGAATTTTGCACTTGTGTTGCGCCCCGGTTAGTGTGTTATTGACCTTGGTGCTCTGTTCTCTGTTCCTTTAGACAATGGCTTTTCGACGGAACACGAGAGCTCACAACTACGAGGATCCGAACCCTAGGGGTGAGGAGGCAGCGGATCCAAATGTTTCCTCGACAGTTCCTGGAGGGGTAGCACCCCCGGTCCCGCAGGCAGCACCTCAGGGAGTTCCCCAGGTGAATCCCTAGGTGGCGTTACTAGCCGAGGCATTACAAGTATTGCTGGATAATGCGAATAAAGCAGGTGGGGCTCAGGCGCAACAGCCTTGCTGGGCACAGATTCAACAAGAGGAGGTCCAGTTTATCAGGGATTTCAAACGCTTCGGACCACCCGTTTTCAACGGGGTGAGTGAGAGGCCTACTACGGCCGAGGAATGGGTCAGGGAGTTGGAAGCCCTTTATGTGTATTTGGGATGCTCCGACGAATTCAAGGTTCGGGGAGCAGTGTTTATGCTTCGGAGAGAAGCAGTAAACTGGTGGGAGTTGGTGGCGGCAGCGGAGGATCACGCCAACACACCCATCACATGGGCGAGGTTTAAGAACTTACTCTATGAGTACTATTTCCCCGTGACTATCAGGAATGAAAAACGGGCAGAGTTTCTCCGTCTCACTCAAGGGAGCCTAACTGTGGCCCAACACGAGAGGAAGTTCACTAAGCTGTCGTGTTTTGGAATGCAATATATTCCTACTAAACAATTAAAGATTGACAAGTTCAATGACGTTTTGCGTAGGGAGATCAAGGGGTTACTTGTTCTCAAGGAACCAAATACTTATGCAGCAGCAGTCAGGTGTGCGTTGGTTATAGACAAATGTCTCGAGGAACCTCAGTCTCAACAGGTGATGGGCTCCAGCTCGGGGGTCAAGAGGAAATTTGCATCGTTCTCCTCCAGTCAACTCTCGAGGGGACACCAGCAGCTTGTGCAAAGGCAGACTATTTCTCCGGTGTGCCCCTCTTGTAAGAAGAGCCATGCTGGGCCGTGTTGGGCGGGAAAGAGAATATGTTACAGGTATCAGAAGGAAGGATATTTTGCAAGGGGGTGTCCAATGACCGGCTCGAATACCCAAGCTTTAGGCCAGAGGATCCCTGCTACGGCGGCAACTCAAGGTGGAACCCATA